AAGAGATCTGAATTGGATGTTTCCCTGTCTGCATCAGTTAAGATCTGTTAAAACCATGTTGGTTAGCGTCTGGCAAAATCATTTCCCTTAAGAGCAGATCTTGGTTTAGAACAGAATGCTCTGGACTTATTTTAAAAAGGTTACTTACACCCTCACCTTGCCAGAAGCATGAGGGGATTTTTCTATGATCTTTGCCTTGAAAACGTATTGAGGCCTCTGGAGGTAACACTAATGAAAGGGGGGCCTCTAAGGCTGGCTCCCCAGGAGCTTTTATCTCTCAAGTCCATGCCCAGTCTCCAGAAATTACTCACTCTTTTTAGTTGTTCTACCAGCTCCTAACTCCAACAATACCTTCTGCTCCTAGTAAGCTGTGATTCTCTGTATTTGCCTTTCTCTCCATTTTACTGGGCAGCAGTTGTCTCTTTGTCCTTATTTATTTAAATAAGGTATATTTTTTTCCTTTTTAATTTTTCTATGTCAGTATATTTAAAATAGTATTCCTTAGATCTGATGGATATAAGAAAAGTTGTTGACTTTCAGTTGTTCAGCTTTTTTTCTTGTTACGAGGTTGGGAGTGATGACTTTTAAGTTCTTTACATAATGAAACAGAAACTAGAAGCCTGTTTGCTTATATGCTTAGTAACTGATTCAGTTATTTTGATGAAGTCTATTATCCCCTCTGCAGTGTGAAGCCTGTGATGTTGCTCTTCAGAGGATTCAGGCTTGGGTATGTTCACGAACACCCTGGGATGGCAGTGGTTTTAAGCAAGGCCCTTTTTGACTGTCTCTCTTCCTCACTACACCCAGCTGTTAAGCTCCACTATGTTCAGTGTCACACACGAGATAGATCCCCCATTCCATGTGTGGGGGTTCCCTCTCAGCCATACATGTCAAGAATGTAGCTTCTGAAATGAGTAGGTGGGAGCAGGATGAGTAAGGCTGTTACCTACCCCTTATGGGAAAATACTGTAAACCTTGATTGGGAGCTGGGGAATGAATGAGCCGTCTCTTCTTAGCTGTTCCCATCTGGAGTGGTGTTTCAATTAGCTGAGCCGGGAGTGAGAGGAGAGGGAGCAGATGTCACAGACTTTTACTTTAGTAGGTTTTCTTGAGTAACTGTCCCTTTATCTCCTGTATGTCCTCAGGATTTCCAGAGAGCATTTATAGGCAATTTACGGTTTTTAAAAATAATTTTGACTAGCTTCATTAGGGAATGGTTTCATGGAGTTTCTCATATTGCCATACCAGAAATGGAATTCCCATTCTACACATTTGATATATTATGTTTTCATTTTATTTTATGTCAAAATACTTTTCAATTGTACTAATGTTTTGTACTATTGCTTAATTTTCAATATTTGGAGCATTTTGAAAATGGCTCTTTATAGTTATTGATTTGCCAGTTTTTTACATTTACTGAGACTTGTGTTATGGTCAGCATATGGTCATCTTGCTCTGTGTTCTCTGTGTTCCATGCGTACCCAAAGAAATGCACCAGTAGTACAAATTCAGATGGATCAAATTTATCATTTAATAGAAAATGTTTTTGATTATAAGCTCTTCTTTTTTTTTTGGGGGGGACGAAGTTTCGCTCTTGTTACCCAGGCTGGAGTGCAATGGTGCGATCTGGGCTCACCACAACCTCCGCCTCCTGGGTTCAGGCAATTCTCCTGCCTCAGCCTCCTGAGTAGCTGGGATTACAGGCACGCGCCACCATGCCCAGCCAATTTTTTTGTATTTTTAGTAGAGACGGGGTTTCACTGTGTTGACCAGGATGGTCTCGATCTCTTGACCTCGTGATCCACCCGCCTCGGCCTCCCAAAGTGCTGGGATTACAGGCTTGAGCCACCACGCCCGGCCCTCTTTTTTTTTTTTTTAATTCTTGAGACAGCGTCTCACTCTGTTGCCCAGGCTGGAGTGCAGCGGCATTATCTCAGCTCACCACAACCTCTGCCTCTTTGGTTCAAGTGATTCTCCCGCCTCAGCCTCCTGAGTAGCTGGGATTACAGGCGCACAGCACCACACCCAGCTAACTTTTGTATTTTTAGTAGACACAGGGTTTCACCATGTTGGTCAGGCTGGTCTCGCACTCCTAACCTCATGATCCGCATGCCTCAGCCTCCCACAGTGCTGAAATTATAAGTGTGAGCCACCATGCCCAGCTGATTATAAGCTCTTCTCAAGCAAATGTTTTCCCCTTCTGGGGGAATCTTGTGTGGCCTGGGTGTGGTAATGTCCCTCCAGGAGGATGGATTATTTCTACTAAGTATTCTCATGGACTTGGGTCAAACTTCATGTTTAAGTTTAGAATTGAGGATATGTAGTGTAAAGTCAGACTCCAAAATTGAGTGAAGTCACACCTAAGGTTTCAGTTTCTTACAGAAGAAATTTTTTTCCTATCTAGAGTCTGGGTGAAGATAAGTTTTTGCAGTCTCTCTGTGGGGGTAAGTGGATTTTTCTACTAGAGCCTCCATTCGTTTAGCATATAGCCTTCAAGGATCCCAGATTATGTAAAGGTCTCATTTCTAACTCTCCATTCGTCCTAAATTATCTCTTATCCTTGCTTGAATGTTGAAGCATAAGCCATTCATTAATACTAGGTCTTCCTATCCTCAGCCTTAGCTTCAGCGCTGCTCATTTGCTTCCTGCTCTGGTTTTATTTCCCCTGTTTTGGGCAGTGAGAATTTCTTTTACTTCCCTGCAAACTCAGCTTTGAATTGCAAAAACAAAACCAAAAAAATTCTATTTTACCCAGGTGATTTTCCTCTTAGCTTAAGCATTCATCGTACTAGAACCTGAAACATCCAGAGTGATTATTTCAAAACAAACCTGACCTTATCACCTTCCTATTTAAGATCTTTCAGTGAGTTTTCATTGCACATAGGAAGACCCATCTCTAAAAACACCAAAAAATTAGCCACAGAGGGTCACTCATGCCTGTAGTCCTACCTAGTTAGGAGGGAAGCAAGAGAATTGCTTGAGCCCAGGAGTTCAGGGCTGCAGTGAACAATTATGATGCCACTGCACTCCAGCCTGGGCAACAAAGCAAGACCTTGTCTCAAAAAAAAAAAGAAAGAAAGAATATCATTGTGCACAGGATAAAGACCAAAATTTTAACATGCCTCACTAGGCCCTGTCTTGTAGTTTTGTGTATCTTTTCAACTGCGTCTCCTTTCACTCTTCCATTTAGACTCTGAGCTCCAGCCACACTAGCCTTCTCTCAGTTCTTGGAGCATGTCATTCTTCCTGCCTCCCTAGGACCTTTGCGCTTAGCATTCCTTTGATTTGGGAAGCTCCCCTCCCACCAGACTATACATCCACTAACTGTTCAGATCTCAACTCAAGTGTCATTTACTCAGGGAAGCCTTTCCTGACTTCCAAGACACAGTCTAGGTCAATTTCTTTCCTTCCTTCCTTCCTTCCTTCCTTCCTTCCTTCCTTCCTTCCTTCCTTCCTTCCTTCCTCCCTCCCTCCCTCCCTCCCCTCTCTCTCTCTCTCTCTCTCTCTCTTTCTTTCTTTCAGGTCTTGCTTTGTTGCCCAGGCTGGAGTGCAGTAGCACTATCATTGCTCACTGCAGCCTTGAACTCCTGGGCTCAAGCAATCCTCTTGCCTTAGCCTCCTGAATTGGTAGGACTACAGGCATGTGTGACCCTCTGTGGCTAATTTTTTGTTTTTTTTTTAGAGATGGGTCTTGCTGTGTTGCCCAGGCTGATCTCAAACCCCTGACCCTAAGTGATCCTCTTACTTCAGCCTTGCAAAGTGTTGGCATTACAGGTGTGAACCACTGTGTCTGGTTCAGTTTCCTTTGTTATAACTTTTTCTCCAGAAATATTTTCTTTATGTATTTATATAGTTATCTGTATCATTATTTGATTAATATATGACTCCTCTAGTAGTCTAGATGTTTTATTAGAGCAGATACCACTTACCATTGAATGTGTACCTAGGCTTAGTGACTGGAACACAGAGTATATTCAATAAATATGTGATGAATGGGTGGGTGGGCAGAAAGATGGATAAAAAGTTGGCTTGAATAATAAGAAAGAGTGAGTGAGGAAGGAAGGGAAAAGATAGAGAAAAAGTAGGAGTGAATTATGGCCAAATAACTTATAATGGGAGCAAATAGTAGTGCTTTACACTTATAAAATTACTTGTAAAAACACATAAATTTCTTTGCTTCTCAGTTCTCCTTGTCTTCACATTATAGCAAACAAGTACTTCTCTGTAGGTGGCAGTGCACTACGTAAGCCATTTTTTTCTGAAGGAAAAGGGTAGGGGTGGAATTATCTTGAACATTTGAAAGCATTTATGTAACTTGTATCTCATAGCTTTAAAAACCATGCTCTTATTTCCTATAATGTGGATGTATACACTTGACCTTAGCCAAAAGGCCGAGAAGCGATTATGTGGATGTATACATAATTTAAACTTGCCCTTAGTCTTTTTCTCTGTGAGGTATTAGTAAGTGTTAAACAGTAATCAGTTCTCATTTTATAACATGATTGAAATCAACGTGCCTGTCAGGTATTTGGAAACAGGTGTTGTGAATAAAACAGTGGCTGGCATTTTAACAATGATAGCATTTGTATTATAAAATAATTGAAACTGTGGCTAATATAGGTAGAACTGTTGGTCAAGTATATATCTCAACTAGCTTTGGGGCTGGAGACTTTTAAGTGGAAAAGTTTTGTTTTTTTTTTTTCCCTGAGTACGTTAAAAAGAATGACCTGTTGACCACCCCGCTCATGGATTTTATGTAAACAAAAAAAATCAAAACTTGAATTTATCTTTCTTAGAGTGTTTTGTACATATTGTTACCACCTATATTATCTAAAACTTCATACAATCTAAGTGCACTACTCTGAGATTTGCCCCACTTTGTTTTCCATGTTGTAGTTTTATTCCAGTTTAATATATATGTATACATATCTCTATATATAATTTTAATTATATTAAATTTAAATTATATATCTATGTAATATATAATTTTATTTTTGCAGCACTTAAATGCAGAAAGGTCTTACAAGTCCCAGATTTCTACCTTACATAAGTCTGTTGTAAAAATGGAAGAGGAGCTTCAGAAGGTTCAGTTTGAAAAAGTGTCCGCTCTTGCAGATTTGTCTTCTACTAGGGAACTCTGCATTAAACTTGACTCAAGCAAAGAACTTCTTAATCGACAGCTGGTTGCTAAAGATCAAGAAATAGAAATGGTATGTAATACATTTTTTAAAAAATTGCTATTACTGTGAAGTTAGCATAATTTTGGGAAAATAAATTCTTTTTTATGTAATATTACGTCAAGCCATATCTTTGAACTTAGATTTTATTTTAGAAGTCTAAGAGATTAGTTTATGACAGCTGTATTCCAGACAACTTAAGACTGTAACAGGAACTCTTCCTTTTAGCGTGTAATTTGCGTTTACTTTTAGCCGGAAGAATCATAAAACACATTGACATAGCAATCAGCAAAGAACCATGAGGTTGAGGTTTATTCAGCTAAACTTTAACTTTAATGATACTCTTTTACGCTGAATTTATTTACTAATGGGCCAGATTCTTTTAACTGTAACTCAGTTGATTGTATCTACTTTGTGCCTGACACTGTACTTGCCACTGGGAATATAATTTTCAAAAGATGTTAATTTCTGTCCTCAGTGATTTCCCATTGATATGCAAATAATTTGTAATGAATGATATGTTAATAAGAGATACTAAAAGCTTTATAGAGGCAATTTCTATTCAGCCCAGGAATATCAGGGAGGAGTACAAAAGGAGGCACTGCTGAGCTCTAAAGGAATGAGGCATCCCAATCAGGAAAAACAACATAGGCAAGGGTATGGAAGTATATATAGATTCTTGAGTGAGTAACAAGTACTTTGTAATGGCTAGTGTAGCGTGCACGGGAGGAAGTGACTGGAGAGATAGAGCTGTAATCCTAAAGGGGTATGTATAGAAGATGGATAGTGTATTTGAAATAGTGGCAAATTTTGGTCATGTTTAAATTTCTGTTATTACCAAACCCTATTGAAACTTTTATTTATTTATTTATTTATTTATTTATTTATTTATTTATTTAGAGACGGAGTCTCTTTCGGTCGCCAGGCTGGAGTGCAGTGGCGTGATCTCGGCTCACTGCCTCAGCCTCCCAAGTAGCTGGGATTACAGGCACACACCATCACGCTCAGCTAATTTTTGTATTTTCAGTAGAGATGGGGTTTCACCATCTTGGCCAGGATGGTCTCAATCTCCTAACCTGGTGATCCACCCACCTAAGCCTCCCAAAGTGCTGGGATGACAGACATGAGCCACCATGCCCGGCCGAACCTTTTGTTAGTCTGCAGTTGGATGATGCATTTGAGAATCATGCATCTATTTTGTTTCTGTCAGAACCACTGTTAATGTTTTAATGAAGTGTTATATGCTGGAATTCTCACTCTTCAAATTATTTTTTATTTAAGAAGCTTTTAATGATGAAAGTAACTCAAGAATAGGTGGTCACTATAAAAATTCAAACAATACATCCTCTACACGTTTTTACTGATGTTTTTAAATTGGAAAAGTCTTACGTGTTACTCAAACTGACACAATATGAAGTAGAAATATCAGAACATACACCAAAGCTTATTAAAAAATGCACTATGACTAGGTAGGGTATATTCTGGTAATCCTCTTAAAGTTTTGAAATCATTGCCCTTAGCAAAACTATATAAAAATCTTGATAATGATTTATATTAATTAAAAAAAATTTAAAGATGTTTACTCCAAGTTTTGTGACTTATTTCCTTTTCCCAAAGTGCTTTACGTTACCCTGACATTAATAATTTTTTTTGCTTTGGAATCTGGTTATTTATATTTGTATCTTTATCTCCTCAAAGTAACAATCTCAACCATCTTATTTATTTTTGTATTTCTTAAGCTGAGCTTTGTATATAGGAGGCACTCATAATTTTTTTCTAGATTAAACTCTTGATTTTGAGATGATGGTAGATTTGCATGCAATCATAAGAAATAATATAGAGAGATCCTGTGTAACCTTTACCTGGTTTTGCCCAATGGCAATATCTTTCAAAGTTATATATATTGTAAGACTATAATATATTGGATATTTGATATTGATTCAGGAAGATGCAGACCATTTCCATCACAGGAACCATTGTGATGCCCTTTTGTAGCCCCGTCTACTTCTCTCCTATTCCCAAACCCTCCTTAACCCCTTGCAACCATTAATCTATTTTCCATTTCTATAATTTTGCCATTTCATGAATGTTATATAAATGGAATAATACAATATGTAACCTTTTGGGAATTGACTTTTTCCACTCAGCATAATTCTAGGTCGTTTAATGTAGCAATAGTTCCTTTTTATTACAGAGTAATGTACAGAGTATTACAATAATTCCTTTTTATTACAGAGTAATGTTCATCCTATTGGTTTAACACAGTTGGTTTAACCATTTACCCACTGAAGAATGTCGGAGTTATTTCCAGTTTTTGGATAGTACAAATAAAACATTTGTGTTTAGGTTTTTGTATGAGCATAAGTTTTCATTTCTTTGTAAATGTCCAGGAGCGTAACTTTGGGTTCTCATGTTAGGTGCATGATTAACTTTTTAACCAAGTGCCAACCTGTCTTCCCAAGTATCTATACCATTTTGCATTCCTGCCAACAGTGTATGAATGACCTAGTTTCTCCACATCCTTCCCAGCATTTGTTGTTGCCACTATTTTTTAAATTTAGCCATTCTGAAACGTGTATAGTACTTTATTGTGGTAGTTTTGATGGGTAATTTCCTTAGTGACTAATTAACTTGAAATTCTCTTTGTGTGGTTGTCATCTCTGTATCTTCTACGGTGAAACGTCTCTTTGTTTTTTGTCCATGTTATCATTGGATAGATGTTTTTCTTAATGTTCAGTATGGAGAGTTCTCTATATATTCTAGATACTAGTTCTTTATCACAGTGGCCCTCAAGTTTATTGGCACCAGGGACCAGTTTCATAGAAGACAGTTTTTCTACAGACTGGGTATGGGGGCGGGCAGGGGATGGCTTTGGGTTGATTCAAGAGCATTACATTTATTGTGCACTTGATTTCTGTTATTATTACATTATGATATATAATGAAATTATTATGCAACTCACCATAATGTAAAATCACTGGGAGCCCTAAGATTGTTTTCCTGCATCTAGACAGTCCCATCTGGGGGTGTTGGGAGACAGTGACACCTGAAAGGTATTGCTTATGTCCAGTCTATAATCTTGTCTTGGTTGCTGTCACTGAAGAAAACCCTGCTTCACAAAGTTAGGATGTTGGAAATGGAAGCAGCCTTTTCAGTGCTTTTGTGGCAATATCAGGAGAGTCAGGCTTGACTTTAATCCAGAACGTCTGGATTTGAAGTTGTCTCAAACATACTTTTAAAGCCGCCATCATTTGCATCTCAGGCAGTTGATCCTCTTCTAGCACGGACAAAATCGATTCACCTGGCATACTCACAAATGGATTGTGGATCCATTCTTTCCAAGTTTGGGGGTCTTTTGTGATTAGGAAGTAGCTCAAACTCTTTTGAAAGCTGAGATAGGTGATCATGCACCAGCTGGGAGAAAGGCAGCCCTGGCTCAGCCTCTTTCAAAATCTCTGCTGTTTGAAACACGTCAAAAATCCCAGTGTTCACTCGTTGCCCCCAAAATTCCAGATTGGCCTTGTTTTTGTTTTGTTTTGTTTTTGCTTTGTTGCCCAGGCTGGAGTGCAGTGGCACGATCTTGGCTCACTACAACCTCTACCTCCTGAGTTCAAGTGATTCTTCAGCCTCCCGAGTAGCTGGGATTACAGATGCCTGCCACCACACCTGGCCGATTTTTCATTTTTAGTAAGACGGTATTTCACCATGTTGGCCAGGCTGGTCTTGAACTCCTGACCTCAAGTTATCTGCCTGCCTTGGCCTCCCAGAGTGCTGGGATTACAGCAGTTTAGTTTTGAATGCAACCACTTTATCTGCCAACTTGAACACAGTTGTCATTCTCCCCTGAAGTGACAAATGGAGTTTGTTGAGCAGATTGTATATGTCACACAAGTAAGCATGTTTTGAGACCTATTCTGTGTCACTCAAATGTGCTACTAGTGGTGACATTTTCTAAAAGAAATGTGGCTCTCATAACTCAAAAACTCTGGCCAGTAGTACACCTTTAGAAAGCCATCTCACTTTTGTGTATAAAAGAAGATATGTTTGCTCTGCATCCGTTTCTTCATGGAGCTATGTGAACAGATATGAGTGAAGGGCATGTACTTTAATGTGGCTGATAATTTTATTATTATTATTTTGAGATGGAGTCTTGCTCTGTTGCCCAGGCTGGAGTGCAGTGGTGCGATCTCAGCTCACTGCAACTTTTACCTCCCAGGTTCAAGCAATTCTCCCGCCTCAGCCTCCTGAGTAGCTAGGATTACAGGCACATGCCACCATGCCCAGCTAATCGTTTTTTATATTTTTTTTTAGTAGAGATGGGGTTTCACCATGTTGGCCAGGATGGTCTCAATCTTTTGACCTCATGATCTGCCCACCTCAGCCTCCCAAAGTGCTGGGATTACAGGCATGAACCACTGCATCTTGCCAGCTGATAATTTTAATCACATCCTACAAAACGTTGTTAAGTTCAGGTGACAATTTTTGGATAACCAGCATTTCTCTATGGATGACACAATGTGTAGATTCACATTCAGAAGCAACCCCTTTGACCCAAGTAATGAAATCAGAAAGCTGTCTAGTCATGGCAATCCCTCTGTCTGCGATATGCTGACATAAAACAACCAATTCAGTTTTCCTGATATTTAATCATCCAAAGACTTGAGTAGTCTGCAGCTGTGACATTGGTTGGCAACAAAAGTGCACATAACATACTCAGTTAGGAAAAGAGGAAGTCCAATTGTCTCTATTGCAGATGACATGATTGTATATTTAGAAAACCCATTGTCTCAGCCCAAAATATCCTGAAACTGATAAGCAACTTCAGCAAAGTCTCAGGATACAACATCAATGTGCAGAAATCACAAGCATTTCTATACACCAATAACAGACTAACAGAGAGCCAAATCATGAGCAAGCTCCCATTCACAATTGCTACAAAGAGAATAAAGTACCTAGTAATACAACTAATGGAGGATGTAAAGGACCTCTTCAAGGAGAACTACAAAAAACTGCTCAAGGAAATAAGAGAGGAC